AGTTTTCTTTCTTTTTCTCCCCCCCTCCCCACTCACTGTGCATGAACCTGTGCACCAGGCCACTAGTATTAATATAATAACAAGTTAGGGTGGGACAGGGTCTCAGGGAATCACCAGGGCCAGGTGAATAGCATTAGCCAGGTTGATGGAGACTCAGATATGGTGCCCACCTGCCGGCTCTATTGAGGAAGGGCTCAGCAAAGGAACAATGGCCTCTGTCAGCACTTCTGTCTGGGAGAAAGCTGCCTCTCCAGCCCTTGCACTGGAGCCAGACAATTCAGTTTCTCCCCATAGGTCTCTGGTGCCTTTTGAGCTGCTGCACTAAGCTGAGAGAGAGTGATTCTGAGTAATTCCATGCATGGGCCCTTTAAAAGGAACACCTGGGACTCCAGAAGTCCTCTGTCTCACTCAGGCACAATCTCTACTGGCTTTCACAGCCAGAAGTTATGGGCACTTCTTTTCCTGAGAACTGGAACCCTGGGCTAGGAGGCCTGGTTTGGGGCTGGGACCCCTCGCTCCTGAGGGGGACCTCCACAGCCAGAATATCCTTCCTGATTTTTATCTGGGACAGGTAGGTGAGAGATGAGCCCATTCTGCATTTCCACCCCTGTTACCAGTCTCAGTGTGGATTTTTTATATCTTTAGTTTAGCTAGACTTCAGGTGGTTCTGAATGATGGTTGTTCTGTGGTTTGGTTGCAATTATGATGTGGTTAAGGGAGAATTAGAGTACTGCATTCACCTATGCTGCCATCGTGACTGGAACCCTCTCATAGCTCTTATTTCTTGAAAAAGCTTAAAACTATTGGACACCTGGCCAAAAGTCAAGAATATGGTAGAATGTAGCCTCCTTCTAATATTAGTATAGGACACTTCCTCCCTATTCCCCTACCCCCAACAACTTCCCTATGTCCAATGCAATTTCTGTCACTTTCCCTTTTCCATTCCATGTTTGTATTGTTTACAGTGTTTACAGACCCTAGAGGTAACAGTAAAAATGTCCCACTTAATTCACTTTAGTGTGCTTTTTTAGCATAAACTATACATTTTTAGGGTCTTCCAGGGCCTTCATCATTCCAGAGACAAAAGATTAAAACTGGGCAGTCAGCTCTCCTCTGAAGACCTTTGAATAATCCTTTAGCTTAGACCAGCGATTTTCAACTTTTTTCACCTCATGGCACACATCAACGGATTACTAAAGTTCTGTGACACACACAAAAATATACGTTTTTCGCTGATCTGACCAAAAATTGTATAATTTTGATTCATTCACAGCAGATGGCTAGTGCTGTGTTGGCTGTTATCATTTTTTTTATCACTTAAGGGAAAAGAGGTCAGAGCCCCTGACCAAATAATCAGGTATTACAGGTTTTAAAAATTCTTGTAGCACACTGGTTGAAAATCACTGGCTTACACCATAATGGCTATTATGTGTGACTCCTGGGACTTATGAATCTTATTCTAGGGACACTTCCTGCTTTCTCTGATGATCTCTGACTCACTTACTTTCTCCAAGTATCCACTTTCCTGCAGACAGAGAGAAATATTACATATTTATGGCACAAATATAGATATCAGCGTAATAGAAGAAAATAAACCCTGTCTACATCTATAGAGAACTGCACATCCTTGTACAAAGAGACATCCACACAGGAGAAGAAACAGAACTCCTATAGTTTGCCTTTTTAAAATATAAATCTGGTCATATCACATTCCCCACCCCTGGCTTGAAGCTGCAAGGATCTCTCCAGACCCTGCAATGTCAATCTCTATATCCCTAGCTGCCCCTCGCTCTCTCTGATCCAGCTGCCCGGGCCTCCTCTCAGTCCTCTGACTTCCTGAGCTCCCTCATCTTTGCACATGCCATCTCCTTAGCTACTAATGCGTCCTTTCCCTCTTGCAATCCCCCCCTCCCCTGTTGTTTATTCATTTTTCAGATCTTGACTTAAGCATAGCCTCCACAGGAACACCCCTGCCCCACATTCAAATCTCCAACGTACATGTGTAAAGCACCACGATCATCTTTGGAGCACCCAGCATACTTGGGATTTTACTTTTGTGTAATTAAAAAATATATATCACCTGCCGGGTTTCTTGATCCGGCATCAAGAAGGGTTCAGTAATCTGGAGAAGGCACTGTGCATAAATTAATAGAGTCCAGAGATGAAACATAATTTTGAAAGGCATTATAGAGAGTCAGAGAAGACTTAGCTAAAGGAACTAAGTTCTCCTTGTCTCAGGACCCTTTCCTATTTATTAACACAAATTGTCCTAAGGCGAGGTGGAGATATACACTTCAAAGGGTAGGGTTTGTACAGAATCCATTATCAGATTGGAAGAATTTGCCTACGGCTGTTCAGTTGTTTGGCCAGTAGGAGGCAATAACATGTAGATTAAGATGCCCTGAGCTGTCTGGCAGCAAGCAATCATCCTTTTCAGGTTTGGGGAAATGCCTTTAGCCATTCCCAGCAGGCGATAACATATGTGACTCAGCCCTTTGTTGCGTTCCCAAGTTCCATCAACCTTTCATGAAACTTGCAATTATGACATGCTGGAACTGGCTTCCGGCAATCACCTGCCTCCCCAGTAAGACAGGAAGCTCCAGAGTGCAGGGACCATTCCTGCTTACCGCTGCCCAGTTCAGTGCTTGGCACATAGGAAGCACCCAATACATATTTGAGGGACTAGAATGAATAAACGAATATGCGAAAGCACCTTGGAGAAGAACAGGCACTCAACACAAGGTAACTTTCTCCTTCCCAGCCCCCAGCACATATTTACATTTCACGCCCCTTAAAAACAGGTGCCCAACTATAAAGCATCTCTGAAATGACAATTTCTATTAATATTATCGCCTATTCCTCCCTCCCATGTGCCCATCTATTCCTCTTAGGTGGCGTAGTAGATCAAAGCAACTTAGATCCAGGAGACAGAAACTGGTCTGATCTCAATCATCATGTGTGCAAGTCACTTTTCTTCACTTCCTCATTTATGTTTTCCCAGTTTCCATATTAGTAATTATATGTGGCCCACACTGGCCCACGTCTCAGGATGTCACGAGCATTCATTATTTAGAAAACTCACAAGGATCCACTTTTCAAATCACCCAATTCCAAAGAAATTGGTGCGACTTTCGCCCATGACCGACAGGAGCATGGGGTGATGTAGGATCAATGTCATGACAAAGGCAGAAGAAGAGTCCCGGCATCTGCTTTCCTACCTCCATGTCTGCTGACATGATCTTTGGTAGCTTGGGGCTTATTTGTGATTTTTTTCTTATGTATAATTGTAGGACATCAACCCGATTCCAGTTGCAAAATAGTGACTGTTACATACACACAGAATCTCCAAACTGTAACCTTCCCCAATTAACTATACATTTAACTTTTAAGTTGCTTAAGAATAGACAGTTGTATGCAAATTAGATATGAACTTCAAAACCATTTATTTTTATTTATTGCTTTATTGGTGGTGCCATCTCAGTGGAAAATTCTAAGGATTGTGGGGTAATGTGCTTACTCAACATAGTAGATGCCTACTAAGTGCCAAGCACAGTGCCATGAGCTTTGGTGAGTGCTGTAGATCAGGCACACCTCACCTCTGCTTTCACAGAGTTTATATTCCAGCAGGTGAGACCAATGTGGAGCAACACTCACAATACTAATGTTAACGTAAAAAACCATTGAAACCTGTAAAGAATTTTTGTGAGTTTATTTGAGCCAAACTGTCGACATATGCCGGGAAGCAGAACCTCAATGAATTGAGATAGTGCTCCGGAGAATGGCAGGGTTACATCCGTATTTATACATGAAATTAATTGGTGACAGATTTAAGGATGTGGGATTAAGTGAAGGTGGGGGGGGGACCTCTGTGATAGGATAAAAAGTAAAATTGATGGTACATACTTAGTTGGGTGCAGGATCAATTAACATGATAATGAAGGAATTTGTAGTATCTGTCCTGGCACCCAGAACATTTGGTTGTGCCCCAGGGGCTCCAGAAAAAAGGGAAGTTACAAGTTACCCAGACATTTCAAGGGTATGTTATCTTAGAGGCAAAAAGGCAAATGGGCTCAGTAAGGATCAAAGTTGATCTTGTCAGTGAAGATACTGGCCTAGGACATAACTGCCCACCATAACTGCTTTTAGTTAAAGTTTAATTTCAGACCATCCTTTGTGGTTATTTTAGGTCTCCGAGTCTGCAAAACTGCCATGCAGGCCTCTCCTGAGCTTGTCAGGTCAGCATGTGGCCCCTTTCGTGGTAAGTGCTAGCAAGTCCAGGATTCTGTGAAAATGTGTCATAGGGAATGCCAGCTGCCTGGAAGTTCAGGCAAAGTTTCTTGGAGGAAGTTACATTTCTGCAGAAACAGGCTGCCATCTGCTTGAGGTTGCGCAACTACCGTCACATTCCAATTCGGACATTTGGGCATGTTGTGCCTCAGAGCTTGGGCCCTCGTGTGTAAAATGAGGGTAACATGCGCCTGGCAGAGCTGTGGGACATGAGACAGTATACAGGTAAAGCACCTCTTAGGGTATCAGACATGTACTAAGCCCTAAGCACATGGTGCTTGTTATAATTATACAGCAATGTAGGACTGAAGGAAAACGGAAGAAAAGTTTGGCCACAGCTGGAGATAAAGAAGGAAAGTTTGGAAAAGGCTCAGAGGACAGTCACTCCTCCACACTTGTAGGCAGCCTTTACCTCCTGCGTTTCAGATGTTGGAGCACCGGATGCTTTGAGGCTGTGCTAACAGGTTTCCAGGAGAAGCTGATCAGGACTTTTGGAAGTGCTCTTTCTAGCTATAGGTTAGCCAACGCCCAGGACAGATTTTTCAGGCAAAAATAAGATGCCTGGGACACAGCTCTCTGGCCAGAGGGCACACGGGTTTATCAGATTCTGGCAGGCTCAAGTGACAGACACAGTTTTATAAGCCAGGTGGAAGGACAAGCGATGGATGCTCAGCTGGAGGGTTCGGTTAAGGGTCAGCAGACCCCGCGCCACCTGGATGGGACGAGGAAGAGGGAAACACTGGTGCCCCCAACAGAGCACAGGGAAGCCGCCGGGTGCCCAGCGCTCCTCCCAGGGCGCTCCCTCCCCGGGCTTCCTGGGCGTTTGGAGCGTGGCCTGGCCCGCGCCCTCCGAATGGGTGTGGGTGGTTTCGTAAGTGGACGTGACCTCCACCGAGGGGGAAGCGTGCGAGGCAGCGGGAGTGAGTTGGGAAGGCCGGGCAGGGAGAAGAGAAGCCGTGGGAGGGATGCGGGGGCAGGAGGGGGAGGGGGA